TTTTTAAAAAAAAAAAATTTTTTTTAAAACAAAAACCCCCCCCCCCAAAAAAAAAAAAAAAAAAAAAAAAAAAAAACAGAGTCACGTAAAAAAATAAAATAAAAATAACCAAAGCTACATTTCCCACGCATGGACTACCTTGTACGTATCAAATATATGTTTAAACATATCCAGCTGATTAGCTTATGTGAGCGGGAAATGCAGCACATTCAGCAGAATTAAATCAAGCGTCAATCTCTTCCGTCAATCAGCAGGCAGTCTAGCTTGAAAGTGGGTTAGGCGGTCATTGCTGTGCTGCTCCTCTTCCTCGCTAGAAGGCAGACCGGGCAAGCCCTACTTGGCACCGGTCTGATCGCAAAACAATAACCATCCGCCTTTAAGTTCGAGCACAAACGTAAACACGTAGCAATCCGTATCAAAACGCATAATCATCATATTTTTGATCAAACATGAGTTAGCTCAGCGATACTTGCCTAGCTGCCCTTGGCTGATCGTCAGCACGATCTGATCCATGAGAAGGTAGCGGAATTCAACATCCTCGTCGGCGCAGCGCTCCTTCAGAGCCCGGAGGATCTGGACCTGAGGGTACTCCTGGCTGATACGCCGGTCGGTCACGAACCAAACCCGAGAGCACATTGTTTGTAGTGTGGATTTGCTAGCGAAACAGCTGAAAAATACGCCGTGGAGTGAAGAGAGGTGGTGGGCGGGGGGGGTGGCAGGCAGGTGTGTGGTGGGAGCGCGGGATTCGGGCGGCAGAGATGCTCTCACAATGGAGGCGAGCGGTGAGAGCTGGCTGAAAATGTGGCTTAAAAACAAGACCACTTGCTCAACCGCTGTCTGGACCGAACCGGCTCGGGTGAAAACTGTTCAGTACCTTTGTTTTCCGTTGCTTCCGGCCATTTAGTCTGGTCGTGGATTGGATCGTCGAACTCCAAGCGAGAGAGAGAGAAAAAAGAAAGAAACTAGTTCGAGACAGAGAGGAAGAAAATGAGGGTGTTTTCGCCTCCCTTTCGACCGAGACGCAGCTTTCCTGCCACCGAGGCAAACAAAGCTAGAGCCTCGCCGCTTCGGGTTCCCGGCTGAGGAGTCGAAACCGATACAAAAAAAAAAGTTTCTTTTTCAACGCAACAGCGACTATCAAAACAGCTAAACTGAAACAAGCTAACCGATGCAACAACTATCTATCTGGTCAGTTTGGCTGCTATCCACGCGGTATTGGTGCTGAAAAATGCACGCGCTTTAGTTTACAACTCCACTCCTCCGCGTCTCGTGCCCTGCCCCAAAACAAAGGCTCGGACGGTAGATGGCCAATCGCAACTCGTGTAGAGTCTCGGTGTCCACGCAGCAGCCGGAAAAGGTGGGCGAGTCTCGATCACTTGAGCCAATGAGGGAAGAGAAAACGTAATGAGTGGGGGAGAACAGGAGGGTCGAGACTATTGGTGGCGCGCGGAATGCAGCGAGAAGCACTGCGAGAGACGTCTGCAGGGCGCTCGAGACCGCGCATTCTCCGAACCGGTTCAGACCAGCCCTGTGAGGAGCTTTTGGCTAACCACGGCGTTGTCTCCCCAAAGCGCCGGAAATAAACTAAGGTCATTACATGCCAGAAATACCACAACCTGGCGCCTTTTCTAATTTTATGTATTAATTTGAGGAGGCAAAAAGTGGTTTATTTAAAAAATAAGTTCCATTTTGATTATGGCTATTGTTTACCAACGCCATCTAGGGACAGATGTGTCAACTGGGAGAAATGATGCCGCTGACCCACTTCTCCCTCCCTCCCCTCTTTTTGTGGAGACGAACTACTTGGTTACTGCTATTGGATAGGGAAAGATCTATAAAAGCAGGACACTGCATGCATTTGAATGAACTTTTTAATAACACCAGTATCCTACACAGGGTATAACTCGGAAGCTATTCAGTTGTCAAGTAACCCCAGTCCACAACAAATGTCATTTTGAGACACTTTAGAAGACAAACATCTCCATTGTGGTGGATATAAAAAGTCTATACACCCTTATTTAAATGGCAGGTTTCTGGGGCTTTGTGCATTATTTATTTATGAAAATTATCCTGTATTACTCAGCAAATCTGTCGGGTGGGGGAATACAAAAAATAAAAGCTGCAATAATCTGGTTGCATAGAATGCATAACTCTTTGCTGAAACATATTTTGATTCACTTCCTGGATGCAGGCTTACAATTCATTAACCAGATATAATATTATAATGGAAAATTATATAATGTCATCCTCACCCCTCTTCTGCTTTAGGTATTTCTGCATAGTCTTATCATGAGATTGGTCAAGCTGCTCTCACATAAACATCTACAGTGTCGTATAACAGCAGGGGAGAGCTCCTTGATCCTGGAGACTATCTTAAGTGTTACTTCCCCATCATAGAACTTATCTGCCCTCTTTAGCATGAAAGAACAATCCCCTATCCTTAACAATAGACAAATGGCAAGACCATCTGCGTTGGGCTCCACACTTTCTGTTCTCACCTTGCAAGGTTTTAATAAATTTCTTATTTCTTCTTGTCCAGACTCTTGCTAAAGTAAATTCTTCCATGACAAATATAAAAAATATTACTTTAAAAAATCATCCATCAATTGTCTATCTGCTTAGTGTTGCGGGGTTGCAGGATTGCAGTTGCCTATTTTCAGTGGTTACTGGGCAAAAGGCGGCGTAAACCCTGAACAAGTCATCACTCCAACACAAAGACACACAGCCATGCACAAGCTCATACCTAAGGGCAATTTAGAGTATTCAATTGACCTACTGGTCGTCATGCTTTTTAGACTGTGGGAGGAAGCTGGAGTGCCTTGAGAGAACCCACCAATGAACAGGGAGAACATTTAAACTTCATGCTCAAAGACTCTATGTCGCATGGATTTGAACCCAGGACCTTGCTGCAAAGCAGCAGTCTGAACCACTGTTCATGCTGACCATGCTTTTGCATGTTTCTGCTGGGGTTTTGAACATTTGTCTTTGGTGATAAGCTCCATGTCAAAGGTTGGAAGGCCTCCCATTATTTAATAGCAGTCTAAATATAAGAATCAACAACAGAATGGGCAGAAAATTAATGTTTTGAAATGGCCTACCCACAGTCCAGAGTTTAATTTGACTGAAAATGTGTGGAGCCATATTGAGATATTGAAGCATGATTATGTGGGTATTTATATGTAAGATAGAGAATTTAAAATTGTATACTGGACTTGACAGGTGAGCCAGTGAAAATATGGTATAATGGAAGAAATATTATTTCTACTTTTAGTACTTATTCTCTCTTGCTGAAGTGTTTTGCATGAATTGATGGCTTCTTATTGTTGTTTTTTTTTTGTTTTGTTTTGTTTTTTCAGAGTCCTTGATGATGAATCGTTGCACTTACCCAACCTTATAGAAATGCATGGACTAGTTCTGCCAGCCAAAGAAATTTTACAAAATCACCAAGTGGAATTTTATGGCAACATATCTTATATTTACACTTCATTTCCCATAGGAATTATTTCTTTTATTTAGGGGCACTTTTCTAAAGAGGCTATAGCCTCATAAACAATTGAATAAAAAAAAAGTGGGAATAGACAGATAATTGCACTAGTCATAAATAAGTGGTATTTGGATATTTTAGTTAAATGTATCATGAGTGCACTGCTTCAGCTTGACACACATGGCACAACCCATGTGTGTCAAGTATTTTACTATTTTTTTCTGTTGGACCTTCTCATAGTGTACATTTTGTGAAAATAACAATTGAATAAACATGAAATATGAATCTGAACACAAAATCTAATTTATTTGAGACAAAGACTTGCTTTCAAACTTTGCGTGACAGCTAAATTTGAACAGTAACTACATGAACGGAAAAAGACCTCATTAACCTTCTGTGCCATATCTGGGCAGCACCGCTAATTCACAGCAGTATCGCGAGATTTACACCCTCCAGTCTCCTGGCATCATGCATCATCGTGACCACAAAAAGCATTACACAATAAATGCATGTCAAACTCTTAAAGTAGTTATATTTAAGTGTAGTATTTTGCAAATAACTCGTTATTGCAGTATATATTTGCGCTAGGTTATGGTGGGTTTTTTTCATTATATGTTCCGGTTTTATATATAAAAAAGTAGTATTTATTTAAAGGTTGCCTGTCTACAAGCTGCTGTTTGTAGAGATGTTACAAAAGCTACGGTGTTTTTGTATCTTTTTCCCCCCACAGAAATAGCTACCATGTTTCGGTCTGCTTTGCTGCATTCTCCACACTACACGTTGCAGTGCCGTAGACTAAACAGGATCAAACCGGGTCGAACCGGTCCGCTGCTGCCCGTTCAGCAGCAATAGTTAGAAGAGGCTGTGACAGGACATGCTCCTTTTAGCATCCCGCAGTCAAGCATACTTCTGGTTTTAAAATAAACCTTGTCTTTCCCCTTGTTTTATCAGATTCAGAACGTAAACAATTGTGAGGAAATGTTCGCTAACAGCTGGTTGAAGTACAGCTCATCTTTCAGGAGTCGTGTCAGCTCGCTTGATGCTGACGTGGTTCGAGCAGCTATTAATCAGCTTTGCGCTACAAAATGACACGTTAGATGACGTTGTAAAAAAAAAAAATCCCACAATCAAGTGTTTCTTTATATTTAATACACGTCGGAATCAGCTTTATTGTCCAAGACTGCTCTCAAATACAAAAGTTGGTTTAAAAGTAAAATAATATGAAACAAATGGAAATAGCCTATAATATTTTGTTAAAGAAGTGTTTGGCGGTGTTATCGATCTATATATTAATCATATTAATCTTTTAATTTTAAAATAAATGTGACATTTTTCATTTTTTTAACGGAGTTATTTACTAGTTTCATTACTTGTGAACACATGTAGTTTACTTCCCTTGCCTACAGGGACCTCTAGTGGCAGCTCGATAAATTACACTATGTCTGTCTATCTATCTATCTATCTATCTATCTATCTATCTATCTATCTATCTATCTATCTATCTATCTATCTATCTATCTATCTATCTCAATTTCTGTATTGTGTTGCGTTCATTTGAGCTATTTCAGAAAATTGGTTGCATTGGTTGATCTAACTCTTCACATACTTTTACATTGGAAAATCTCAGTTTTAGATAAATAAAAAGTCTAATGGAAACTCTGTTTTGATGTATGACATCTTGCTCATACGTTAAAATGTATGAATGTGTACTACATACATTTTGTATGTAAAGACTTATAAGACAAACCTATGCTTAAATGTTGTGGGGGTTGAGATTATATAACAAAATCCCATATTATACATTCTGATCAACATGATATAAGCAGCTGAAAATGTAGGAAAAAGTAAAGAATTGTATATAATCGCTTGCATGGATTTACAAAAGCGTTGGCAACATGGTCACAGAAATGTGAAATTGCTTTTTGTCCGCTGTAAGAAGGCTACTACACTTTTCCTCTTTCTTACAGTGACTCTCAAATATAAACATATACCCTGGTTTAAATACCGTCTGTTTATCAGACCATGATAAATAACCGAAAAACTCTTTTAATTTGACCTTGTGAATAATGACACTGAAAAACTAATAAATCTGTTTTGGGGCGGGGGGAGGGGGTGCAAGAGATCCAAATCCTGCAAAAGCCTTGTTGCAATGGTGTGCACTGCCTTAAAGTAGAGCTTTGTTGAGTCACTATCTGGAAATAGCCTAATGGAAAACTGAATACTGAATGCTCAGCACTCAGTATTTTTTTCTGTTCACTTACCTGCCATCAACATAAAAAGTTCAGGTGTTCTAGTTTGATTTATTTGTAATATTTGAATCTTTGGCCCAAAGCTGCTGTTTGTAGAGATGTTACAAATTATCAAAAAGTTCTCAATATACAAAGATTCAAACAGAAATCCCCAGGTGGGATTTGAACCCAGGACTTTAACTCCACAGATGAGCAATGCATCTCATTGCATTGCTCACAAATGCATGCTCTGCAGTGCAGTGACAAATGCTATGCATAACATAGACAATTGCAATTGTCTATGTTATGATTTAGTCTTGTTTGCCAAGACTAAATCTGGGCAAACAAGTTGTCAAGATGTCGAGACAAGCATGAAAGGAGTTACTGGCTGTGCTCTACATGTGCTGACAATTGGCTTTATGTGTTTGGAGTAGGGCTAAAAAACAGTACATTTTATCCCAAAGAAAATATTCAGTCCTAAAAGGAAAACCTTGTTGGAAAATGTATTAAAGACAATAAAACCAAGCTTCAAATAATTCTATTCTGACTTCCAAGGATTTTGTATGGCACAAAAATAGCCCTGCAAATCACTAAAAGAACACACCATACACACAGTTGGCTGCATTGTAAGGTTACATTTTTCACATGAAGCTGAGGTTTTTTTTGTCAAGGTGGGTGAGGCTATGAATAGCTC